ACCAGATTTGGGATTGTGTTGCTGTTTCCTGTTGATGGTGTCCTCACGTTTTTATCCGATGAAGTTGTTTTCTCTGCTCTCTTACCCGTTTTCATTTCCTCCTTTAAAAAGGGTGAAAACACCTATAAATGGAAAGTGAAACTAATCCGTCCGTGTAACATCAAAGATGGTGTGAGTGGTGTTTAAAAACAGCCAGAGGTTTCAAACCTAGAAGGGTCCCTGCAATACCGAGAAGCTCACTGTGATCAAGAGCTGTAAATCCCGAGACGGGCTGCAGGTAGCAGGAGCAGCATTTCCAGGTACGGTGGATGTGAGCAGAGCATGCCTGAGACCATCCTTCCACGGGAAAAGTGGGTGTACAGCCAAGACATGTCCTTAATCTCTTGACTCGCACTTCAAGGTTTTGTCTACTGGACCATGCTTTCTTATATCATAGTTTGGCAGCTAAATAACTGGCTGATTTTTCAGAGGTACTGAGTTCGGAGACACTTGAGGTTGTGGATGCTCAGCACTTCTGAAACAAACCGACCAACCAAAAACCCTCACAAAAAAAACCCAGGCCACTAATCATTGAGTGCCAAAGCATAGGGCATCCTTTAGACGACTACAGTGATTTCAGTGAACTTAGACTGAACTGAAGGAGCACGGTAATGACTGAGCCCTGAAAAGCATAGAGATTTTAATCTTGACCGGTTTCCCCTGAAAAGGCACGAGGGACATCACACAGTACCTAGAAAACGCCTGAAAATATACTGGCCGTCTCCAAGCCTTGCCAACACCAAACGGTTCTCGACAACAAGCTGTGCTATCACTCCTTAGTGCTGGCAAACATCCTGCGTAGCAACCCACGCAGGCACAAACAGCAACTGGCTTCCAGTTTGCACGCCTCCCGGAAAGTGGTTTCAAGAGACGCTGGGAATGAGAAGCACCATTTTCAAAGCTGTTCAGATAAAGACAAGTGATTGCAGCGAGGCTCAGACGGTTTTCAACAAATGGTGCGTATCGCTCTAACATACTGTATCATTCTTCTGCTTTTTCCTTAATCAAGGTCTTTGACACTATAATTTCACACAAGACAATTTATAGCCCTGGCTGTTTTGCTGCAGTGCAGACTCCGGCAATTTGGAGACCTGGTGGTCTGATGGGTGAAGCAAGATACCTGGATTATGTTCTTCATTTGGCAGTCACTAACCTTTCTTTACCTCTGCTTTTCTCTCCACATTGTAAGAATAATATTTACCCATCTCTGTGAAGCAATTCAAATTCCTTGAATGAAAGATGCTGTAAAAGCTGAAGGTGTTATGGGGAGACAGGGAGTTTTGCTGCGCTGTTGCAGGCCCAGGGCAGGGGCGGTGCTGACCCTGCCAAGTGCTCGTGCCCCGCTCTCCGCCAGGCAGATGGGATGGGGCTGCGGGAGTGGAAGCGGGATGGGCTGGCGGGGCTGGGGACAGGATGATGGGGCCATAACAGTGCAGGGCTGGGGCCCAGGACAGAGCTGCAATCTGCTCCTCGCACGCCCGTGCCCGTGCAACCAGAGCCCGTTATGGGGACATGCGGGCAGTGGATTACGGCTTTGCCCTTGGCCCTTGTGATCCTGATCCCAGCCCCAACCCTGGCTCCACCCACCCGCCCCACACCTGGACACTGCTCCCTGTCTGCCTGCAGCCCTATCCCATCTGCCTGGCCAAGTTCACCCTGTCCGTGCGGGTCTAGGCTGTTCCCCACCAACCCACTCCATCCAGTGCCCCCAGCAGTGTGTGTGGGGTGGATGGGCTGGGTATCATGGCCAGGGCCATGTCTGGCAGCAGTGGCAGAGACTGGCAGTGGCAGCTGGAAGGAGCCGCGGCTGCAGGGGCTGCTGGGAAGTGAGTCTGGCTGCCATGCTGCCCCAGCCCCCCTGCAAACCCATGACCAGCTGCTGGTGCCGTGGCCCAGGCTGCCCCCCGACACCTGGGCTGAGCAAGGCCAAGGGACCTGCCGCGGCCAGATAAAATCCCTTGGTGGGCTGGATCTGGCCCACCCCTGGTCTAGTGGTTAAAGAGCATCAACCATCAGGACTCCTGGGTTCTGTTCTCAGATCTACCCCTACTGTATTATGTGATCTTGAGCCACTCTCATCCATTTTTGTCTTATTTGAACCCAAGCAGTTATCTCATAGTTTAACATTCCAGATTATTTTATTCTTAAATCCCTACTGCTAGGTAGTGTAAAGATCCTGAACTTTCAAACCAAGGTTATGCACATATTGGGTATTTTATATTATGTGCTGTAGGTAGTGGAAATCACAGAGCCTGATTGTATATAAAGGAACAATGTAGCTAGACATTTATTATCGGTTTTCGCTCAATCCACCAGAATACTTGCTTGAACCTTGTCCTAACAGTGCAAAATGCCGATGATGAATCTGTAACTCTTTCTTTCCTGACAGTTCAGACTGTTAGTAAAAAGAGTGCAGTAGGTTGCCTGTGTCTGCTTAAATTCTAAGACCAGGACACGGTCTGGTTTATGTTGTCCCTCTCCTCTGAGTGTAGGATCCACTCATCCAGCGCTCTACATTCACAGAATATATCTGAATGATATGACAGAAGCACGAGCTAGGGCCTAGCTGTAGATGCCAATACTGCTGAATGGTGAAAGCACAATATTCCAGGCCAAAACTTATTTTGAGACCCGGTGGAAAGAGCCAAGCTAAACTGAAAGCATCTCAGATGCAAAGAAAGTCTTCAGTTGTTCTAAGATAGGCTAATCAGTAGCACAAACAGGTAAACCCCTAGCCTAAAGAGCCATGTGTGGTAGCAGACTGAGATGGTTGCATTGGGACACAGTACAACTTTGCTCCTATTTTATTTTAATAGCTTAAAAAAAAAAAAAGACCTTGTGATGAAATGGCCTTCATAAATGTCCTTCTGTGAATCATCTACCGCAGAGTAAATGGGACACAATAATAAACCCTCCGAACCTGAGTTTCTAAACTGAGACTTGAACCTTAGAATCAGCGGTTTGCAGAAGATTCACTCTAGCTATTCGTTCGCCTTCAGTTTCTACGGCAGCCTCTGACCGTCAGCCTGATGCAAAAGTGCTAAAATACTGCTCCTGAGAGATTCTTCTGGTGGTGTGACTAGCAGTATCAGAAGAAGGATTTCTTTTCTTGACATATCCCGCCCTGTTCTGCAAATTGAGGCGGTGACAATACTGCTCAGAGGGTCATCCAGACCTTCTGTTTTCAGTTGATTCCTATCCATCTCCTTGGGCCAGCAAGACCCTCCAGTTTCCCTCCTCTCCTTCCCACAAAGACAAAAAGCAAAAGTCATCTGTCAAACACTGTGTGCGGCCAGAATCGAGCGGAGCACAGATCTGAAAAGTGTTGAGCTCTGTTCTGACTCTCTTTTCAAGAAGTTTCTGTTGATGGCGTGTTGGTGCAAGCCGGCTTATCCCTGCTACTGTCCGATCCCAAGGAGACTTCACTGAGAAGCCTTGGGGCTGTGCTGAAAAACAGTTGTATTAGTTTTCTTATTTATAAGAGGAGCAGCAATCTGCAGGGCAGCGGTGGCTTATTTTGATCGTAGCCAGCCTTAGTTTCACAAGGGGTTCTTCCCCCTGCTGAATTGTGCGGGGGCCATTGGGAGCACCAGGAAGAGATGAGGGTCCTCCAAAAAAGGACTAAGTGCCCTACAAATACCAACATCTCTTGCAAGAAGGAATCTCTCTCTCTGTCTTTCAAGAGGTGGGTGAGTAAACCTAGGAGTGAATGACCTAAGGAGCTGAATGCTGTGTTGCTGTATTAACCTATTGTGTACCAAAGTCCGCTCCCCAACATTATGATCATTTTTATCTTGGGCAGTGTTAATCATCCGCAACCGCTGCCTGGCAGCATGGAAGCGAGGGGCGCCGGTCTGAAAACTTATGCTGAGCAGCAAAGGAGCAAGAAGAAGGCCTGTTCCTCACGCTGCTTGCTGAGGTAGGACACACAACGTCTTCTCCACATGGTCCTGTTGAGCTGGAGGTGGGGAAAGAAGCACCTCTTGATTGTGCTCGTTACAAAAAGGTGACAACCATTAGGTAGCTGGTGTGTCTAGATGGCTGCTCATCATGTTGACCCATAATGTTTTCCTGATCCATGTTGACCCATACACTTAGTTTCTTGTGCTCCCCTGGCTGTCTGGTTGTATCCACCTGTTCTCTCTTCCCTGACACTTCCATTTTAAGCTTTTTTTGGCTTTAGGGATTGTCTTTTTGTTCCCTGCTTGTACAGGACCCTGGTTTAGGACTGGAGTTCCTGTGCATGTTATTCTTCCAGTTAAAAAAGGGTGTCAAATCCCGTTCCTCTCTATTTATGAACTTCCTTGAGCACAGAGGTATTTAAATCAGCAAGTGCTAGAATTTGCTTTCTGAAACTAAGCAGGAAGAGGAATTGGGAAATGCAGAGACTCACTTCTTTTTGGCTGCCATAATACATGACGGTAGATTTATTTCCTACATCATCATCAACATAAGAAGAAATTTGTTTCCTTTCTGCAAAACCGGGAATAACAATAAGAAAGAAGGACCGCGTGGATGTCATTGCCCCATCTGGGCCAGTTATATTCTCAGTGTTTCATCTTTTTCTTCTTATACCTACCCCATGCTAGCATCTGTTTCTTACATCTCATGCTTTGATCTGTGCAGGGGAGGTAGTAAATTAACCCTGGGATGCTTCTTGAAACAAAATCACACAGCTGCAACAATTCTACCACCTTATTTCCCCAAGTAGCTCCTACTCAGAAAGTGACCTTCCAGGGTAGATGTCATTTTGCTTCTTTAAAACAGAGGTAAAGGGCTTACAAATTCCTTTCTCCCTTCAGAAATATCATTTTGCAATGTTTTCACTTAAAAATAAAGTCAGGTTCTCATGCAGATCTCCTTGGAGGAACAAAGAACTGAAAGGAAAGAGGATGGTGAATATTTATAAAGACCTTTCCTTCCAGGTTCACCTGCCATTTGGCTTAAATAGATATTACAGATTAAGAAAGCAAGTTGGAAGCAGCAGTTACAAATTGTCTCGCACGCTAGTCCTTGCAGGTTTTTATGATGTCATAATTGCCCTAGTGATTTGACTGTCTAGAGAGTCCCACGGGGTGGGGGGGGGCAAGAAGTTCTGCATAGCAAACCTGAAACACCAGACAAAAATCATTGGTAAAGACTGTCTTCTGCTTCAGGCAAAAAGAAGGCTGCAAAGCCAATATCCCGCACTTCATAGCCATCATAAACACCCTCTAGTTCTCTAGCATTTATTGCATTTGCCCCTTCAGTTAGCAGAAACGCAACAGCAGCCTATTGTCTGCAGGCACGGATATCTTTTTAATCATCACCTCATTGTCCCTCACAGTTTTTGCATAAAGAATTGCAAAGTACACCCCCTTGATAGGCTCCCTGCAATATTCACAGTCACATCTGTCTACAGCTAGCTTGTATTTACAGCCTCGGTTGTTTTAAGGAGAGTCACGCTTTGAGCATAGTCATCATGTCTTTAATAAGAGCCCTGATTTCCTGAAGTCTGAAATGTGTTACTGTCCCGTCTCACTGCATCCATGCCTCTGACTGGCGGTTGGCTTTGCTCTTTACAGGTTACAAACCCAGAGAAATATTTGGTTTCTACATAAACACGTTGGGACAGCCAGAGCAGTTGGACATAGCCACATATAGGTAGAAAAAGACTATTTTCAAGGCAGAAAGGGTATTTAGATGCTGTTCTCCCATGACTGTCAAATAAGTGTTGAACACCTAACTCCACTTTGGGACTGAAATTTCCCCACCCTCATTTGAAGTAAGAGCTTGTATTATTATTTCCTCTAGGTGGGGTGGGGAATAAAATTTAATAAAGAATATATTATTCTCATAAGAATACAGCTGAGCAACATCTACGTGCACAAGGCTTGGGTGAGCAGCATTTTTTTGTACTTGAGTTATTTAACTTGATCACCGAAGTGCTTCCATCTGTGGCTGGGGTTTGTAATCTTTGGAGGGAAGAGTTGACTTCAGCTATTAATGCGGAGTGGCGTTTTCTGGATGTTTGTCCCCCCTCAGCCCTGTTCTTCGCCCCAATTTCCTGTGCAAAAGAACAAAATGTTACAACCCCCACTTTTGAAATACTCAACAGAAAAGAAGAGATTCAGGGAAGAGAACCCGTGTGCCATGAAGGAGGTGTGGTACAGTTTGAAGACGCACTTCACCCAAGCTGTCTTGGACAGGTACGGAGATTTGGCTAGGAATTCATGTAGTTTCATGTTGCACCTTTCTGCTTCCCATGCTCCATCACACAAGCCAAGCAGCGGCAGGAGAGAGCATGAGAATCTGAACTGAAGTGGCCATCTTCCCTGGTCAAAGAAGACCACGTTTCCTCTTGAGGTTGGGTTTTTTCTGCATCTAGCCTCGTCTCCGGCTGTCTTAGGGCAATGAATGAGGCAGGGAGCTGAGAGGAGCTCAGCAAAAGTCTTCCTCACTAGAAAACAGGTGCTTTTTAATTAATTTCTCCTGGAGCCGTCACTGTTCTTCCGAACTCCTGTGGCAATAGATGAGCTATAAAGCAGCAGGTATAGAGACACAAGGAGCTGTACTTGCAGGGGTGCATATAGGTGGCCCAGTGGATAAGGGGCTGCTGTTCAGTGGACTGAAACGGCAATGAGTTTAGCAGCTCACTGGGATCAGCCGTGGTTAGGACTTCACCGTGAACCCGAATAGAAATGCTGCTAGGAAGCTTCCTGGTGATGGCAGCAAAGAGGCCAGTATGGAGGATCTGGATAATTTGCTAATAAAGGAGTGTAAAAATTCTGGATTTTCACAACTTGAAAGGGCCAGAGGTTGCGCTCAAGGTGAGCAAGTTAAAACCCAACAAAGAAAATAGTCCCTTATCAATTCAGGGCTGAGTTTTGGAGCTGGCTGATCTAACTGGGTTGTTTTTGCCGAGCTTAGAAGGACAAGATGTTCATTTTATTCATTGCTCCAACCCAGAGGATCCTTGCCTTGGCTTTCTCCATAGCCAGGAACTTCTCCTGGGCTGCCAGGGAGCGGAGAATCTTTATCCTTATCATACAGGGTATTTTCTTCCGACTAGTTCAGCCTCCTTCAATCTGGGCACGTCGACACGTGACGCTACATCGCTGTAGTGACGTGCTACAGCGACCTAGCATCCACAGGTGCCTACACGTGTCCAGCAGCTACTTCGCCATAGCGGTGCACTGCCCCATTATAGCACACCCCTATGGTGAAGTAGCTGCTAAAAATAACCACGCATATGGTGCAGTATGGGCAGTTACTTTTGGAAGTACTAAAGCGCGACGCCGTAACAATGTCGCTGTAGGGCACCGCGTAGATGCACCCCCTGGGACCTAAGTTTGTCTCCAGTAAATTATGATGCCAACCATCCCCTATGCCAGCCAAATTCCTCCTTGGCTTCTGAAACTGGGAGGTAGTTATTATATTAGCAGAAACCATGTTCTTACCTGTGCTATTCCATAGCAGGGAACGGTCATCGGGACCACACGCCTTTGAGGTCAAATGAATCTGCCCAGCTTATTTCCTTCCTTTGTGTGAAGTGAAGACATGTGTGCAACTCCAGAATCGCTGTCCGCATATGATTACCCAATCAGGAACACCCCAGACTTATTTTATTACTGCCTCATCTTCTCGATTAATGAGGTTGGCTCTTTTGCACATCCCTTGTCTTGCTCCATTAAAATTAGACACACTAGTCCAGCTGAACCAGACAGCAGAAGTGGCACAAGGATGAAGGAAAAAAGTTTATTGTTTTTTTTCCAAAAGTGGGGGGAAAAACACTCTTGTACATATTGTTAATGAAAAGTGTTCCTTGAGTTCCTATAGTTTTTATCCTAAACAGAGCCATGCCATTAATCTGTCCCCATCCCCAATCCCAGTCCCCCAAACTGAACGACAGATCTAGGCTGTATAAGGTAAAAGCAGGCAGTGGTAACATTTCTCCTGTGTTGGGTTAGTGTTGATTAGCATGGAGACATGCTATTTTTAGGGATTAGAAGGCCATAAGTTATCATTACAATCATCTAGGCTGACCTCATATATTAGGCAGACCAAAGAACATCAGCCGTTACCCTCACCGTCAAGCCCATAACGCTATATTGCCATCAGGATGTATACATCAATACCTTCTACAGCGTGCGACAAGCGCTGCACAAGTGTATGTCCACAGCCCTATACTGTAGTTCCTGGAGAGTCTCCTTCAGCACAGCCAGCAGGGGAGTATGCTTCCTAAGGACACTGATCCAGGTTCTCACCCTAATATGACCCATATGGACAGCATGACGGGGACTGTGGACTTGTTGCAATATTGTAAGAGCTTCTCTGTCTCCTTGGAAGTGCTGGTGTCTCCTGTTATGACAGCTGTCAGCATGAGGGGAGCCCAAGAGATGTTTTATTCAGCAGCAAAGGCTCAGACAGACAGGTCATTTCAAAGTAACGAGGCTTTAAGTTCGGTGTTTGAGGAGCGGCCCTAATTTACACGTTAAGATTCACTGGCAGACACGCTGGGAATGTCGGCGCGTCCTTTGGCATGATAAGTGATCTGTGTTCAGTGAGCCGACGAGGCAGCAATTTTAGCTGTGGCCTGGAGTAAATTAAAATGGCTTGGTTACCTTGAAAATGGCTTCATGACGGAAACAGTGGCTCAGGCTTAACTTTGTTTTCTGAAGCAAGATGCTCAAGGCAGGTTGAAAAATAGCTCTCTCTAGTGCACACGTCTATTTGCATTTTGGCTGAATGCTCAGCCAGGTCATTACAGGGGTGTAGGTTGTCCTGAATGCAAAGCCAGGCCCTTGACTTCCAGTGCAGGAGCTCTGCACACACTGAGCCCAGGCATTTCATTCACAACCATTCGGCATAGCTAGAAGTAACCAGAGCACGTGGGGGAAGTTAGAGGGAGTGAGTTCAGGTCTGGGAGACCACAGGGTCCCTTCTCTGGGCTTCTTGCCCTTCATTCCCATGGTTTCTCAATGCAGCACAGAGCCATCCAGATGCAACATCTGTGGCTATTGCCTTCCCCAGTAACTGAGCAGGGGGGTGGTGTGGTGATCCAGGCCTATCTCACTCGGGGAAATAGTACCGGAGTAAAAAGGTGCCTGAATCCTCACCTGCAACCTCCCCTTCTCCCTTTTAGGAACAAGCCAGTATTTCTTTGCCCGTACACTTGGAACTGTACCAACCCATTTATCTCCAAGTTTCTGCTGGAGAAGCTGGATGCACTTATAGAGACTGTCACAACATTCATAAAGGTGCAAGACGGCGGTGCCTCTCTCACTTGCTCCCTGTTGGATCCAACCACGCTGAATTCCCAGAGGCTCCTTTGGTTTTTCTGTTGACGGAGCTTTTGCATTCAGCATAAAAAATCATTAATAAAATATCAAAGAGATCCCACGATGGGCTTGCTTCGTGCAAAACCAGTTGTTTTGTGGGTGGCTGCGGGAGGCGGTTTTGAGTTTCTGGTCCACCGTGGATTCCACAGCTAGTTCAGCAACGGCAGGATTACAGCAAACGTGGGGCTTGCTAATGGCTGATTGTACGTTCATTAGATCACAGTTTTTCATCAAAGGAGGGGTGGTTAGACTGTTCCTGTGCTTTGTTCCTGGTGGGTTTGCTGCGCATGCCAGAATTATTTCCAAGTACTATTCCACTTTATAGGCTTGGAGGCAACAACCACTGGAGTCCAGCAATGGGAAACCATCAAAGGAAGAACAATCCAAGTAAGTTATTAACATCGTTCTTAGCTTGCTTTGAGAATTAGAGTAAATATTTACAATGAAAGAGAATTGATGCTCCAGTTTGCAGGGGGCATTGACCAGCTGGACTGTTAGGATTAGTGGCAATAGATGGCATTTTCTTCAGTGGATAGACTTTTTGCATGCATGCTCCTGGGGATGGTTGGGGTGGGTGAAAGCTGTAGGCATTGTCACTGAGGCAGTGGACTGGGACTGGGGAATTCTGTTTCTGTCCCTGCAAGCAGCCTCATGAGTGACCTTGGGCCTATGATGCCCCTCAGTTCCTGAGTTTCCCCATTGATATAGAAGCTTTTATCCCCATTTTACAAAGTGCTTGGAGCAGTACAGATGAAGAAAGTGTTACCAGGAACTAGATATTCTTATTGTTGCATTATTCCAAATGTCACATGCTGCCTTTTCCATTCCCCTTCCTGCTGCCAGAGAGTACATCTGAGACTAAAGCAGGACTCCTGTAATGTAGAATTACTCACTAAGGTTTCAGAAGGATGGTGCTGAGAGGGACTGCGACTGGCCAGTCCCACCATGAATTGCATTTACACTGCAGCCTTGATTTGCAGAGGCCGGGAGCAGTTTTGTTTCTTCCTAGGATCAGGGCATAGCCGTAAGATAGACAGCGCTGTGCAGCCCCTGGGACAGCGCATCACTTGGGTCAAGGGCTCAACTCTGACTCCGCTGAAATAATGTTTGGCGGCTATTTCGTGGCTTTGGTGGGAGATGAGTCTGTTGGGTCTTAGTGGGCAAGGGACCATTTCACAAAGGTCCTTAAAACCCCTTGGAGTAATTGCTTCTTGTTGGCAAGTTTGAGCAGAGAGGATCAAGACCAAGGACATGGAAACCAAATAGGGTCAGGAAAGGGGGTCACTGGGGTCATACAAGTAAATGGCAGAGCCAGGAGCACAAACCAAGAGCCATAGCTTCCTGACCTTGTCTTCAGCATTAAACACTGCTGTTTAATCATCTTGTTTGAATTAGCAAACAAGCACCTTTGAACAGCAACCACTCAATCCAGCCTGTACGGAAAGACAAACCTTTTGCTTTTCACTTGTCTCCCAGGGCTCACTTCCGAGAATCCAGCTTAGCCACAAGCTGTCTTCCCAACGTGTTACTGGATGAGTTGCTGATGGAGGTTCTCCGAGATTTGTCCTCTGATGTCTTCAGAAGTGCTGTGAAGGATTTTGTTGATGACTGTTTAGGCAGGGCTGCCATTTTTGACAGCATGGATGAAATCGTGACGGAGGTGATTCAGACGATCTTGCCGCCATTAGTGAGTAAAATGATGTCTCTCATTCACACCCATATGGATATTTATATGTATGCACCAGGATGTGTTGATGTGCATGTATCATGGTGTGTAGATACAGATCATGGTGCATGCATTAATGAGTAAAATGCACACACACACCTCTCTCTTTCATATACACACACAACAAGATATGTGTGTGTGTGTATATATATATATAATTTTTTGTACTTGAGTTATTTAACTTGATGACTGAAGTGCTTCAGTCTGTGGCTGGGGTAATATATATTACACATACACACACACACACACATACATGCATGTACCTGTTTGTGTGTGTGTGTGTGTACGTGTACAAATCATGGGATCCTGAATTTGGAGCTGGTATCAGTTCTGTTTCTTCCAACCCTGGAGAGTGAAGTTCTTTTTGAGCATCCGCAGAACCGTGAATGAAAATGCAGCAGTGACAGAGAATCCCTTACCAGTGTGCCTCAGATCTGGAAAAGGGCCAGCGTGGTTCCCATTTTCAAAAAAGGGCGGAAAGAGGACCCGTTAGTGTTACCTCGGTCTTGGGGAAGCAATCTGAGAAAATTATCCAGGAGCACAACTTCAAGGGGCCAGCGGGGGAGATCATGCTTAGGGGCAACCAACGTGGATTCATTCGAGGCAGGTCCTGTCAGACCAACCTGGTGGCCTTCAACAACCAGGTCACAAAATCCTTGGATGCAGGTGTTGCGGTGGACGTAGTCTTCCTGGACTTTCGGAAGGCCTTCGACACTGTCTCTCACCCCGTTCTCATTAAGAAACTGGGGGCTGTGGTGTTGACACCCACACAGTCAGATGTGTCGCCAACTGGCTGGAGGGCCGCACCCAGAGAGCGGTGGTGGACGGGTCATTTTCGTGGTGGTGGAGGGATGTGGGCAGTGGGGTCCCCCAGGGCTCGGTCCTCGGGCCCGCACTGTTCA